TCAATAATTTGCCCAGTGAATCTTTCAATAACGAAAGTCGAGGCTTGAATTTTTTCTTCAGTTCCCCCAGCTTGAGAAATACCGTGTTCTTCCCTTTTGGTTTTCTAACTCTAAATCTTTGCATATTTTATTATAGTACTTGGCTTTATCTTCTCGAACTGGGTACAGGGATAGAAATGAAAGTTTGGAGTTTCTTTGCAGTCTCCTAATGGTTCTTCTAGCAACTCTACAAATGCCCTTCCTTCCATTTTATGCTTTATGTAAATTTTCATGCCTTCTATCATATTGTGTTATATTAGACCACAATTAGTGAGAAACTTCCCACTTCTGGATGTGCAGAGAGGAGAAGGCTACCATAATTGATTATTTTTCTAAGAGTGTGAAAAACACTGGTGTCTGGGTCTCCTATGCTGCTTGCTCTAAAAGAAATACTGCCAGTGGGTGGTTGTGAGGTTCTGGGCACTGGCTCCTGGGGGGAAGACTCTGTAAGGGCTGGCAGAAGATCCTTGTCTCCTTCAGTGCCAATAGCACCAGCAATACTTGGTTTCTTAGCATTTTTCACATGTTAAGACAGTAAGTCAAAAAGTATTGCTATAAATTCATAGAAAACTTTATTAAATAAAAATATCCTGTGAAGATACTGTTTCTCAACATATCCTCCATGTAGGTCTACACACTTCTGAAGGCAGGGGTTTCATTTCTCTCATTTTCCTCAAAGACTTCTGTGCTCTTTGATTTATTCCACATCAAAACAGAAGCTTTGGAATTGTTGACTCAAATCGTGTTCGTTCCCTTTAAATGTTCTTTGACTTCTGTAAACAAAAAGAACTCTGAAGGGGCAAGATCACAGCTGTAGGTGGGGTAATATTTCCTACAGAAATTCTCTTAGGACAGGCCTTGCTACCTTCAAAGAATGAGCAGGTGCATTGTCTTGGTGGAAGAACATTCCTTAGTGTAACTTTCCTGTTCTTTTTCTCACTAATGCTGTTTTCAGTTTTTTTGGTGTTTTGTTTTGTTTTTTTAACTTCTTCCCAATAAGTGCCCATTTTTGTCCTGTGTCCTTTGAGGAAATTTATCAAGGATGAATGGAAAATGGAGACACAGGGAGGAAGAAGGATAAGTGATGTGACATTGAGGAGATTGCGATCATTGAGATAAAAAAAAAAAAAAGTGTGATTTGTTGAATGTCTCTGCCTTGAATTTAACTGCCCCAGCAGATCCCCTCAGAAGCCAATGTTTCAGCTGGATCTGGCTCGCTGGATCATACTGGTCCCTCTTAGGGTTCATTCCATAACATTGTCTTCATTAGCATCAATCGTACTTAAAAGGTTGATGAAAAGATCAGCTCTTTGAGCTCATTGATCTTTACACAATGCTTTTGGTTCCATGGGTACCAAAGGCTGAAAAATTTCTGAGGCCAAGACTAAAAATTCCAAAGCATGTGAGACCCTAACTTCAGTAGCTATTACATCAATGGTAATTCTATGGTCTTCTTCCACCAGTTTGTAGATTTCAACCACAGATTCTTCATTCCTTGGATTGACAGTCTTCCCTGTCTTGGCTCATTTTTTAAGTCTTCCCAAAATTCTTTAACAGTTTCTTTTATTCCTAATGAGACTGAGACAAGTATATTACTGAAAGAACTTGTCTGTAGCTGTCCACTGGTCACAGAGACAAGTGTAGAAGGGTTTTGTTTGGAAGAAACCCATGCAACACTTTTTGATGTACCTTCGTTGTTATAGAATTTTGTCCAACTGAATTCACTTATGAAACTAATTTTGACAATCATAATAGCTTTTCTTCAATTAAATAACCTGCCTTAACATTTAGAATTTTATTTTAGACTTCAACAATGAAACCTGATGAAACTCCTATGTTTGACCCAAGTTTACTCAAAGAAGTAGACTGGAGCCAGAATACAGCTACATTTTCCCCAGCCATTTCTCCAACACATCCTGGAGAAGGTTTGGTTTTGAGGCCTCTTTGTACTGCTGATTTAAATAGAGGTATGGATCCATTTTTGTTTACAAATCTTGATTGGAATTGTAGTTCACTTTCTGTTTTTTCTACAAACATGACGATGCTTGGTTTTTTGGCTTTTTGAAGTATTTTTGCACTTAATTTTTAAACTGACTGCATGCTATATATGTATTATTGTTATTGTTAAGTGCCATGGACTCAGTTCGTATATGTGTCATGGATAAGACCAAATAATATCGTGAAATAGTTCAAATGATTTAAGTGCAATACTTCCCTCATAAGAATCCAGAAAGATTTCTCATAAACAAAGGTGAAGTCATATGCATAATGACACATAAGGGAAAATATTGTATAAAAAGCGGACGGGGGAAGAGAAGGCCTTGGATACGTTGTGAAAAAGGAACTCTGGTCGCATAGTGATTACGAGTCAGGCTGCTAACCTCAAGGTCAGCAGATGGAGCCTACCAGCTACTCCTCGGGAGAAAGATGAGACTGTTCCTGCAAAAATGTACATCCTGGAACCCCCATACAGGGTCACTGTGAGTTGGAACCACATTGATGGCATGTACAAGTTGCAAAAGGTTTTGTCTACATAATTCTAAAACATACTGTTTTTAATTTTTTAACATCTAAAGTCTCCGAAATAATTTTTTTCTCTGACTTTGATCAATCAAAAATCACCTTTTAATTTTCAGTTTATTCTTGGTAGTAAAGAAATCTGGAGTAATTGGTTTTGGTTGAATTAATTTTTGAACATATATAAATTGAGATTCTCTATTTACAAAAATATAACATTAATGAACTAGAGTATTTAAAAACTGTAATCTCAACAATATTTATACTTTATATTTAAATTTTGTTCGTAGTAGAAATCTTACTCTTTTAAATAAAACTAAATCTCACATATGAAAAAATTTGGTATCCCTTATCATTGAATATAAATTACTTGGAAAAAGTGAGTACTAGCTGAACATTCCTGGTGTGGCACTGTGGGCTAATGCTCCACACTGCAAAGTCATATGAACTACAAGTTCGGTGGTTCAAGCTCACCAGCTGCTCCTTGAAAACCCTATACAGGGTCGCTATGGGTTGGAATCGATTCGACGGTACTTAACAGCTGAACATTAAAACTAGTTGCTGAGGAATCGACATCAACTCATGGTGATTTCATGTATCTTGAGAGCTGTGCTCTATAGGATTTTCAAATACTGATTGTTCGGAAGATGATTGCCAGCCCTTTCTTCTGAGGCACCCTACAAACTTTTGGTTAGTAACTGAGCACCTAACTGCACCATCCATTATCCCTCGCTCAATATTAAAGTCAGCACTATTACAAAAATCTTATGCAGGCAAAAACATTACTGAAATCTACCATTCTTTGTTATATATAGCGATTACAGAAAGACTAATAAGGATCAGTCTAATCTGCTTTAATAATTTAAGAATGATCCAATGTAGAAATTGTTGAAGAAAATTTTCAATAGCTCACCATTTTAACTCTTTTTTGCTCTTCTCATGACTTGAAATCTGTTTTACAAAACCAGGTTTTTTTAAGGTACTGGGTCAGCTGACAGAGACTGGAGTTGTCAACCCTGAGCAATTTATGAGTAAGTACTATAGCCAGTTTTTCCTCAATTAAAAGTTGGGAGATCAGATTTTATTTTTGTTTATAGAGCTTCGTTGAGTATCCATGTGTTTCTCTTCAAATAACTGGAAGTTATTCAAGTGACTATTAAGTCATTTCAGTAACTTAATTCAAAATAGCTGAACTGGTCAGAAATCCAGGTGTAGCAATTGCCTTGTTTTGCAAAATACCTGACCATTTAGATAATTTACTAGAGTATAGGGCCTAGTTGGCAGCTCTAGAGATTTTTTGTTTTTCATTGTAGCATTTTCTCATTTTCTTTCACGTAGTTACTGAGAAATTTCATCACCAAGTCAAAAATATAAGAGAATATAGTTTTAAATTTTTATTATTCAAAACAAAATAGTTATTTTAATAATATAAAATACTAAATTGATGTGAGGGTGAAGTCTTTATATTTATTCCATTTGCTACATGACCTTGGGAAAATAACTTGAAAATGGAGACATACAAGGAGACTTCACAGAGTTGGTGATAAAATTCCATTATCTTTTAATTCCATGAACTTCGTGAAACACGCTTGTGTTTTTTACCTACTTCACAAGGTGCTTTCCAAAGCAAACAAAGCTCATTAAGACATAAGCAAATCATGTCATAGTTATCTGTAGATGCTCTAAATAGAACCTATTTAAAATAACTAAATAATGAAGATATTAAGTTTTAATCCTTCAGTTACAGAAGTGATATCTACAATTTGAGTGCTATTCACCTAAAACACCCATATTCACTTTTTTTTTTCAAACAAAATTTTTAAATGTGTGAACTATATTCCAGTTCATGCTGATTGCTGTTTTTATCTAGCCGGATATCATTCTGTTTTCCTATTTCCACAGAATCTTTTGAGCACATGAAGAAATCAGGAGATTATTATGTTACCGTTGTGGAAGATGTAACTCTCGGACGGATTGTTGCTACAGCAACTCTGATAATAGAACATAAATTCATCCATTCCTGTGCTAAGGTATGTATTCACATACATGATTATGAGTAAAATGGGCAAGTGTTTCCTAGCATTGCTAATTTTGAGTTACCATTAGACAATCATGTGTTTCACTGCCTTTCATTGTGAAGGCAGAGCTATGTTAAATTGAGAAGTTTTGCTTCTCAGTGTGTTCTGAGAGCTATGAGGAAGCAAATATACCGAGTATGAATTATTTGCTGATTTTTTCTCTAAGGTTAAGATTCCTCATTGCTGTCTAGTTGATTTCACTACATAGAGGTATCTATCTGTAGGATACAGTAGAATTGCCCCATAGGGTTCTGAAGGTTATAAATCTGTGCAGAAATGAATGCTATGTTGCTCTCCTGTAGAGCAACTAGTGGGTTCAGACCACCAACCTTTCAGTTAACCAACCAAGTGTGTAACCACCAGGCCTCCTGGATTTGGTAGAAAACAAATCAAACCCACTGCCATCGAATCATAGTGACCCTATCTGAGGCTGTAAACCTTTTTGGGAGCAGAAAGGCTCATCTTTCTACTGGTGGATTTGAATTGCCAACCTTACAGTTAGCACTTACAGTGCCACCAGGACCCCTTGATTTGGCGTTGTTGTTAAGTACTGTTGAGTCGGTTCCGACTCCTAAATATGGTTTCTGAGGAGCAGCTTGAACCTCTGAACTTGAGGTTAGCAGTCCTACAGCACCACCCTGAGGCTCCTAATTGGTATTTGTCATTGTTAAGTGCCATCAAGTCAGCACTGTATAGGGTTTCCTAGCAGCAGCAGGTGGGCTTGAACTGCTGACACCGTGGTTTGCAGTCCAGTGCTTATGCTGCACCAGGAATCTCAAGAGAAATCAATTCAGCAGTGCAATTCAACACTGTTTATAACTGCAAATAATGCGTCCCTAGAGCTCCTTTTTTGCAAAAAACATGAATACAAATTTCCATCAGTTTGCAAGTGCTAAAGGATTCCGAATACTACTACAATTGTAAGCACTTCCATCCCTGCTGAACTAACATGAAACAATGACTAGAGCCTAAGGAATGGGATGATTAGGTAGTAATCATTTGGAATATATTCTTTGAGCTTTATGAATTTTGGTGGGGCTTCTGTACTTGAAATTAGTAAATTGTATTTGTAGGGCAATGGGTATAGTACTTTCAAGATAAAATAGCACCTTGGTTTAGCTATAAACAAAGGTACTTCTTTAAATTCTTCCAATATTTTCAGAGAGGAAGAGTAGAAGATGTTGTCGTTAGTGATGAATGCAGAGGAAAGCAGCTGGGCAAATTGTAAGTAAGCAGAAACAAGGCAAATTAGATATTTATCTTTCAATGCCGTTTCTTACTAAGATACTTAATATTAAGCATCTGTTGTGTACCAGGTTTTAAAATTTTTACTTCATGTTAATGAAACCAATTCAGAGTTAATGTTAGAAACTTTCACAAATACTAGAGTTTTAAATGATTACAGAAAAAAGCTATTTATAGGTCCACTTTGTATGGTAGTGGTAGTGTGCCGTGGAGTAGGCTCCCACTCATAGCGACCCTGCATAGGTCTTCCAAGGCTGTAAATCTTTACGAGAGCAAAAGCCTCTTCTTTCTTCTGCGGAGTTTCGAACTGCTGACCTTGAGGTTAGCAGCTCAACTCATAACCACTACACTACCAGAGCGCCTCCACTTTGTATAGGACTGCCATTATCTTCTAAGTAGTTTAATTAAATTTAGGCGGGGGAAGAAGTCTTTACAAAATAATTTAACACAGTTTTGAAAAGGCTGATAAACTTTAGTGTTGAAATGAATGTTGAAATGTATTTTTAAAGAGGATTTAAGGATGAGTTTAGTATTCCATTATTGGGCTGGAGATTATGAAATAGTACATTTTGAAGTCATATAAATTGGTTTGGGTGATTTAAATGTTTACCACTTAAGATGTGAATATCTTAATATTGCATGTGAATACATGCAATCTAAACTTCTAATATAAACTTGGTCTTATTTTTTATAATATTCATAATTGTTATTGAAATCCATTTTTACTAACAAATGCTCTATGCTTATTCTCCCATCCCTTTTAAATTTCAGGCTATTATCAACCCTTACTTTGCTAAGCAAGAAACTGAACTGTTACAAGATTACTCTTGAATGTCTACCACAAAATGTTGGTTTCTATAAAAAGTTTGGATATACAGTAGCTGAAGAAAACTACATGTGTCAGAGGTTTTTAAAGTAAAAGCCTTTTAAGAAGACAACTTTCAAAGAAGCTTCCTAGGGTTAAATTATTTTCTTGGTACAACTCAGTGACCTCCATAAATACTGAACTGGAGAAAACATTGTATATGTATAATGACATATAGATTACTTTGGGCTGACATGCTATAAGTCTAGATTATACATTATTATAAAGGGTATGATTTTTAACCAAAGGAATATATTTTTAACTTGATTTTTTTCTTGCATTGTATTTTTATAAAATTTGGCTTCGTTTCTTGGTAGTCAATATGGGTAATAAAGTAAAAAATGTCTGCTCATTAAAAAATACATTGAATACTGTTTCTTGTCACATTGAGAAATTTAGTATTTCTGTTTCAAAGAAACACTACTACTATTTAAGGGTATATCATTTCTCAAATCTAATTTTGTTATATTGGATAAGTTAAATAGTAGAACTAAATGTACTCTTTTTTTATAATACTGGCTGTATTTTATAATAATACCTGGTTAAAAGAGTAGAAATAAAAATTACCATAAAATGTGACAAGAGTGAAAGCAAATAGCTTAAATATATAAATAAATGTTTATAGAATCCCCACACACCACTGAGCATCTATAGTGGGTTATCTATTTAACATAGAATTAGCAAATCCTGAAATATACTTCCAACCTGATTTTTTTCCATGGGTATATAAAGCTTCTACTGAAGTAATATTTTTATTGATTACAAAATTAAGTATTTAAAAATATGTACACATTACATGTTGTATTTTTTAAAATATTGTTGGAAACTTTTCTTATTTAATGATTATAATGGTACTATTATCCTGGTCGCTGCAGTGTGTTTTATTTATTTTTTTAAAATTTACATTACATTCCATTAAACCTGTTCATATGATTTTCTTCAGTCTGTTAGGTTTATTAAAGTTTAGTAAAGAACCTTGGTGAACAGTGGGATTTGTTCCTTGGGAAACTTATGGGACTCGATGGGATCGCTGTAAGTCAGAATCAAATTGACTTGTGTGTTGTTAGGTGTTGACTCAGCACCTTTGGACAATAGAAGGAAATTTTTGTTGCTGTCATGGTCAATCCATCCTTCCTTTTCACTGAAGTCTGTCTGGTTCCCTCCTGATGACATGTCTTAAGTCTCGCTCACCATAAAATACATGTAGTGTAGTGGTTACGAATCAGGCTGAGAACCACAAGGTCAGCAGTCGAAACTACCAGCTGCTCTGCAGGAGAAAGATGAGGCTTTCTGCTCATAAAGATTGATAGCCTCGGAAACCCTGTATAGGGTCACTGAGTCGGAACCGACCATGGGACATCACAACAACATATATTTATTAATATAAATTGAACTTAGGAAGGACCAAATGCTTATCCCTTTGACTCACATCTACTTAAATTGATATCGGATTTGTTTCATATATGAATATTATTCACTACATTTTGGGGCGTTCTTTACTTCTGCAAAGGTATAATGAAAACGGGTGCATTTTGTGATCAATGGCTATTGTTACTGAACCACCAACCTTTGCAGCTCAGCAGGACTTCTGTCATAGTTTAGTTAGCAACACTTTCGTATCTAAAATAATAGTATAGTTGTAATGACAACGTAAATATAATATACAACATAGGCTAAGAGGCAAAAATAACAAGAAACTTTTTTATAATAGGAAGATGTTCTACCATTTTTTTTTGTACTGAAATCCCTACCTTGAATCAAAACCCTTTAAAATATACTTAAAGTGGAACTTTAATATGCAGAGATGATATATTTATGATGGCCACAATAAGTGGGAAGATACTCTTAAGTGGTTCTCAATATCCATTGGAGTAACACTGGATTACTTTAACCCAAAATTCTTATATAAAAGAACTTTTCAATTCTTTTGAGGTATAATGGCACAACAGTTTAATACATCCACCAATCTTCACAGAATCATTTTAATACTTTGTGCCAAGGCTAGCAGCATTTTGTACTGTGACATTCCTATACACACATAAGCATTTTCTCCAAATACAAATATTTGTTAAAAGAGTCAATGTCTATACAAAGGTAAAATGGACAATGTAGGTTATTTTGCTTCTTGAATCATTTTTGCTGCATAGTAAACTGCAATTACATGTCAGTATAGAATACACTGTGAGCTGTGAGGTATGACAACTCCCTATGAGAGGGAGCTAACATGTAAACCTGAATATTTTGAGTGATTTTTTTCTTTTAGCTGCCATGGATGGATAAGACAAAAAATCTAGCATTCAAAGACCCTAGAAACTTATTTTCATAATAATAAAATTTTTAAATCTTTGAATTAGTCTCAAGATATTTCCTATCATTCATTTCCTTATTGTTAACACAAAGTTAAAGTAAATATTGAAGTAAAGCTACTTTTGTTATGGAATTATGGATTAAACCAGTTATTTAAAAAAAAAATCCACCAGGTAACTGCTCATTTACTTTACATCAAGGTGAGATCCTGATATATAATAATTCAAGATTGCAGTTAAATACTTCTAATTCACTTGAATTATCATGGTTATAAATCTTAAATATTTTTTAAAAGGACATGCTTAACATTTTCTGAAATTACTTCTAAACTCAGATGAAGTACAAAATCTCCCCAAATGTAATATTCTGATCTAAAAGTTAAGTGGTTAAGTTAGTAGCAAATGCTTATCACAGTTTATCATTTCCACCAAAGAGTAGCAATCAATAAACAAAAGAAACTGTTATTTAAACCTCTAATTAGAAATTAACATGAACAATTAAAAATTAGAAGGTAAGAATACTGCCATTAGAATTAAGAATATTTTCAATATTTAAGTTATTCATACTTTCAAAATAGACAGTAATGCAATTTTCCTGTTTTGATACAATCTCACTGTAAATTCTGTGCCCAGATTACATATACTCTAGAAAAATAATCATGATTGATTGAATTATCTTAGTTAAATAACATTAGTAAAAAATCAAGATATCACAGAGATGGAACCAAACAAAAGAAGAGCTATTTAAACAATAGGTAAAAGAACAGATCCAAGGAAAAAAAACTTGCAATGTTTTATAATAAACAGAATAATCTCCAAGTATGTGCACTTTAAGGACCCTTGGTGCCGTGCTTAAGAGTTGGGCTGCAGTTCAAACCCACTAGGAGGAAGATGAGGCTGTCTGCTCCATACAGATTTCGTCTTGGAAACCCTAAGGATTCACTGTTCTGCTCAGTCCTACAGGGTTACTATGAGTCAGGATTAATTCAGTGATAGTGGGTTGGCAATGCCAACATTAATATTCTAACCAAGGTGACACCAATCCCTTTTCCTACATTTGTAAAAATCTGTCTTTAATATACAGTGCTGAGCAGGCACTTCAGTGACAGCATAAAAATTATAGTGGATAGAAAAGGTGGAAATTTTCAGCTACAAATTAATATCAATAACCAAAATCTGTACTTCTGGTCACACTACTGGACAGGGTATGTGTATTTAAGAAACAATTTAAAAACAAAACAACACCTAACTGCCTTAACTTTTAAACCCTAAATTTACTATTATGAAGACTCTTTTAAGTAGATAGTTTCTACAAAATGAAATGTTGCAGATTCTTAGTTTGTAAGCCAGGTCCTTGCTGACCCATTTGCTGACCCATTCAGTAAGTAGTATCATCTGGCACTTTACCAATTGGTAGTTCTAAACATCCCAATGCAAATTTTGACCACACTAAACCACTACACCAAATGACATCAGAATACTGCACTACAAGAAGATTAACAATATGCTGCTTATCAGGGTGGTGAATACCAATTAACAAAGCAATTAATTAATTGCCACGTTCCCACTCTACTGGATACAAACAGCCTTTACTGTATAATTATATCATAGGGAAAAAAGCAAGGAAAGTAACTTGGTGTTAATAGGTTACCTTGCATTATTAGTACCTCTTGGTACCAAGAGAATGTACAGAAATCATTCCCATTAATAAAGCACCACCTTAAGGAGGACTGAGAAAAGTGAGATTTGAAAGTTTTGTTTGTGCTACCTTAAAGTCAAATTATAAAAAGTTAAAAACACTCCTCTCCTCCCTTACAGGACATACGTAAGTAGACAAACTGTTTTTCTTAGAACAATTTATATATAAATAAAAACACAGAAATCAAAGGATCCATAAAGTGACTTTGCTAATACAAATTATGGGGAACAACTGGATTAATTTAAACAATGGATTATAAAGCTACTTTACACACTGAAGTCTCCCACAAATCACTGTCTTCTATAAATGCATCTTTAAATAAAAGTTTTTGTCCGAGGAACTTCACAGAATCATTAAGATTGAACAGAAAAAAAAGGTTACATATTCCAAACAATTTACTGAGCTTTTGAAGCCTCATACTTTGAGTTTTAAGTGATTTGTGGTGTTTTTTTTTACAAAAAATTAAAACTATTCTACATATTAATTTGAAGGTTATGAGGATTTCTTTCTTTTTGTTAAAGGATGCAAGGCACTTTTCTGGGTTTCATCATTTAAGGGGAAAATAACACAACAGTGCTACATTAGTATATTACGTTCTAGTTAGAACCATTTTGGACAAAAGTGGAAGAAAACAGCTTAGATGACTTTGAAAAGAACAGTTATAACATTTGGCTTGTACCAAAAGATAGGCAAAACAGAAAGTCATGTGAAACATAACACTTATCCTTTTTTGGGGGAACACCTGGTACTATAAAATATTTTCCTTTGTTAAACTTTGTGGGTTTTTAAAATAATACGATAAACAGATTAGGAAGGTAACAGAAAAGGAAGTAGTAACTGGATGATGTTAAAGAGAAGTTATCTAATGTCATGATTTAAGACTATTAATAAAGGATCAAGAAATAAATTTAAATACAAGGGTAGTTAAGGTATTGAGTGATACAGAAACAAAAAATGTAGCAGGCTCCTACTATTAATGTTTCTGTAAGAAGCTCTATCATAAAATTAAACAAATTATTTTAAAATGTAATATATAGAACACAAAATGAATTTTTAGCAAATCTTAGTAAATTCTTTTATAAATTACTCAAATTTTATAACAAATCCCCCCAACTTACATTTTGTCTAAAGTAATAACTATATCATACAAATAAATTTCAAGTATGAAAAGTGCATTATTGCAATAATACCTCTTTGCAAGTCCAAAATTCTTGGTTTATACTAAAATTGTAGTTTAAAAAAAAAAAAAGGACTAAAACCATCAGTGCCATCTATTGCAGAAGTCCAAAATCTTCTTAAAATGTTGCCCAACAAGTTACAGAGAAACATGTTTGAAAGCAACATACAATTGAAAAGAAACTACATGTGTTTTGTCATTTCACATTATTATTGTCTCTTAAGTATTTCCTCCTGTTCAATTAGAAATTCACATCCTCTATAATGCTGCTCTGGAGTCAGCCATTCTGTGCAGTTGCCACTTGCATGTTTCCAAATTCTTCTTCTTCTTCATGTGTTCTCTTCAAACTACCTAAAAGTTATTGCATGAACATAACATAAAAGGGGAACTTAATAATAAAATCATCATTTGTTAGAATGTCATTGTTTGTAAAAATCTGAATACATTATTTAAAAAAAAAATAGCAAATTTAAATGAATTCTTTCGTTATACATTACTCAAATAACTTCATGACAGAGTACATTTTTCCAAAGTTAAATATTGCAAATGTTGTGCCATGTAGTTAATTCAAACTCATAGCTGTCCTATTAAGAGTTTTCTAGACTTTATGGAAACAAATTACCAGATCTTTCTTCTTCAAACTGCTGAGTGGGCTCAAACCTCCAACCTTTTGATTAACAGGTGAATGTTTAGCCATTGGGCCACCAAGGATCATCAAGTACTGCATTAATAGTGGTATTAACTGATCTTCCTTCTTGTTAAGTGCCATCAAGTTGCTCCCAACTGATAGCAATTCTGTATAGCGTTTCCTAGGGGCGGCAGGTAGGCTCGAACTGCTGAAATTTTGGTTCACAGTCTTGTGCTGATGCTACAGCACCACACCACACCAGGAGTCCAAGAGAAATCAAGAATTCAACAGTAATGTTTAGAACCTCAAATACTAGAGCTGCTTTTTCTCAAAAAAATTACATTAATGCAAATTTCCATCTGCTTCCAAGTGCTAAAGGGTTCAGAACACTATACTCCACTCTAACTGGAACATTCCTAATGCTTATTGAGCATTCATTCCATCCCTGCTGAGTTCATGTGAAACAGCAATGAGGAATTTGTAAACTACTTCAAAAATAGAATTTTCAAAGAAATAGCAGTATATAAATGTTAAATTACCAAGTTTGTGCTTTCATCAAATACATACATAACTAGGACATGAAAGTTAAGCAACTAATTATGTTTGTATTCTTTTCTTTTGAGAATATACTTATATTTTGCTTTCATAGATGCTGCTTTCAAAAGCACGTAAAATTAAGGATTGAAAAGAAATGAAAACATACAGCAGACAAGCAGATGTTTCTAAACTACTCTGTAGATCAGAGGTCACTAGTACAAAAATTATCCATAAAGAATCAAAGTTATCCTTATATACCCAATAAATTAAATCGGGACTTTGAATCTCAATGGAGGAAAACAGGAAACTGGTAAAGAGTTTGCTGTTATTTGCCTAAGACATGGCCATAAACTTTTACTCTAAAGACTGTTGAAAATTTTTTTAAGACTGCTAAATCATAGCAACAATGTTAATTCAAAGGGCAGATGCAAACATGAAGCTGTTTCACTATAAGATTAATAAAGACAGAAATACAGTATCAATACGCAATCCAATAGTGTCTAAGAACCTATATGCCAGCTGCAGAGCTAAATAAAACCACTGTGACAAACTTTCAGATGAAGCGTTGAGCTCTTTAGCAGTACTGACAAAAAAAGAAAACGAGAGGCAAAGGATACATAAACATTGGAAGATAAAAAGAGGTGTAGTTCTGGGCCCATCAATAGAGAAAAGCCAAGAGCGGGACCCTGCCCAGAGAAACAGAGATGCCTGAAATAGAGACAGAGATGATGACGTGGAGTGATGAAGCGGCTGGGGACTTTGGATCCAGAGAGGAAAAGGGACTGTGGGCCGAAAACTGGGGGGATGAGGGGGAAGTGTAGGGGGCGGGTTTCTGGGATATACCCTTTGGGTGGTTGATGATGCATGGAAGGGATTGAAACCACGGCAGTGAGAGGATTTATGATGGAATGAATGTAAAACTAAAGATCTCCCATGTAAACGATCATATAATTCACAATAAAACATAAAAAAAAAAAAAAAGAGGTGTAGTGGTTAGGCGCTCACCTACTAATAAAAAGGTTGTTGGCAGTTTGAATCCACCAGCCACTATACAGAAGAAAGATGTGGGACCGTTACTCTAGTTGCTATGAGTCAGAAACAAAACAGCACAATAACTTTACTGTGAACTGAGTGAAGGTCTACATTTAATAAATCACATGCTTTGCTTCATTACATGATTACAATCCTCCATGTACCAACAATTAACAGCATTCACCTATATTCACTTTTCATGATTTTCATCTTTCCTCTGCTAACTTCCCTCTTGTTGGATATTGTCTGCCCTGTCACACATGAATAATATTTGTCCTTTCGGGATTGACTTAATTTCACTCAGCATATCTTCCGGGTTCAACCATGTTGTGAGGTGTTTCACAGATTCATCATTATTCAACCTTTTGTACTACTGCACTGTGTGCATGTACCAAAGTTTGTTCAGTCATTCTTCTGTTGAGAGGCATTTGGGCTACCTCCACCTTTTTGATGTCTTACAGACAGCATACTGAAGGATTCTGTCTTCTTATTCATTCTGCTCTTTATATCTCCTAAATGGAACATGTAAACCATTTGCATTCAGTATAATGATCAATATGTATGACTTGATTGTTGTCATTTTCTGTGTGTTTCTTTGTGGTGCTGTTGGGCATTTTGTTCCACAGAATTTTCTATGCTGAGTTCATCATGTTTGTGTGATTTCATTTTTATTTCTGTTGTGTTAATGTTTACTAAATTATTTCTGATTTTACTCTTTATTTTGACGTGCAGATGTATTGTTTTAAGGTTACCCTGTAATTTATTGATTACGCTCCTTAAAACAATCTGTTTTTACTTTACTTCTTACCTCACTTCTTTGCCATTTGGAAATTCTGTATCTACACTATTTCCTCTTTTTGCTTTTTAGCTGACAACTTCATTATACATTGTGATCTCTGGTTCCCTATTTTCAGGTATGTAGTTTTGTTTAACTTTAAATCCTTCTGTGACGCTGCAGGATCAGCACTAGACTGCAAACCATGAGGCTGGCAGTTCAATCCCACCAGGTGCTCCATGGAAACTCCACAACGTTGCAATGAGTCAGAACAAATTCAATGGCACTTAACAACATATATGTGTTGAATTCTGGGTGGTGGTGTCATACATGTCTGCTGTTGATTGTTCTAGGTCCAAAAAACTCACTTTACCCTGGTCTGGATATTAAAAAATTCCTTCAATTCCTATTTATCAGGAAATGTCCTAAACCTGTCCTAAACAGCTTTGCTGGATATTCCATTGGCTTCTTGCCTGAATGGTTTCTGCTAAGAAATCAGACCTTAGTCTTATTGGTTCTCCTTTATAGGTAACTTTTCATTCTCCCCAAGCTACTCTTAGGATTCTTTCCTTGTGTTTGATTTTGGAAAGTTTGATTATGATATGTCTTGGTGATTTTCTTTTGCGATTTATCTTGTTTGGAGTTTATTCACCTTCTTGTATGCACGATGCTAGGGAAGTTTTCTTCAAACAACTCTTCGACAATTTTCTCTGTGCTTGTCTCTTTCTGTTCTGGAATTTTGATCACCTCTTCATGATATCCTTTTTCTGGTTGTCCTTCTAGCACACTAGTATTAAGAGATGTATCTTCAAGCTCACTAATCCAGGCTTCCATTGCTTCACATTTACTCTTTTGGCCTTTCACTGTATTGTCCACTTCAGAGATATTATTATTAATCTTCTAGATTTCTAACTACAGGCTTTGTATTGTTTCAAATTATGTATTTCTTTTGTCTTTTTGTTCTTGTAGTGTTTTCCTGAATTCTCCAAGTTTTTATTGTGTTCTCCTTGCTTTCCTTGATCTTTCTATTGATCCTTTTGAATTCTTTTTGAATTAGTTCCAATGCCTTTTCTTCCTCAGAATTGTTTTCTGGCTCTGCATCTTGGTCACTTATTTGAGCCATTATCTCTTGTTCCTCTGTGCTAAAACTGTTTGTTGTCTCCAGAGCATTGTGGGGTTGTTGTATTTGTAAAAACAAACAGTGCAGTTGTTGCAGAGAGGAGAAATCTCTGGTGGGCTCTTGAAAGAGCTCACATGGTGTCTGTAGAAGAAATGTGACAGTAGAGTTCCCACCTGTAGATGGGAGTTCCTACTGATCTCAGTGCTATCTATGTTAAGGGCGCTCAATCTGAAAGTTGTTCATGGGGGCTCTTGATGGGACTCTTCAGTATCTATTAGGACCACAGTGAAGCTAGGGGCAACGTGACTGGCGAAATGCTGATCTGGTAGCTCTTCTGGTTTTGTAGGTCTGGAACTGTGTCCACCTGAATCCAGTGACGAATGCGGCACACCAAAGTGGTGCTGCCGAGCCCCAACCTCACATTGCCATGGCACACAACTACAAAGCTCCAAACTCCTAGAGAGCAAGGTCTGTCCTGCGGGAGATGAGGGTGAGAACAGACCATATTTCTGGCCACCAAGGAAGACTCTTTTCCAGCCGCTCCTTGGAAACTCCATACAGGGTCACTATGACTCGGAACTGACTTGACACAACACGAATTGTAATTTGTACTAAGCAAAAGCAGCTTAGTTCATACCATCTCTATTCATGCTACCTTCTTTCTCTTCTAACTTTCTCCAAAAAGAAAAGAACTTTACCTGTGGTACCAGAATGAACAGACAATGATCTTTCAATCTGCAATGGTGACATCATCTGTATTGTTAATTTTGCTAAGTAGATGGCTTCATATTCCTAAAAAAAAAACAAAAAAATTTAATTACTATACATTTAAATTCATAACTTCACAATTACTACAGGTATTGTGTGTTGTCAAGTCAGTTATGACTCAAAACTAATAGTAAGAGAACAAACAAGATGGTGGATTGGGTGGAAGTACAGTAAAGGAGCTCCGCCAACAACAACACAGAATACCCGACCAAGCAGGCTCAGGGGATGGTCCCAGAACTCCGAACCACATATAAAGGAATATTTAGAAGGTTGGAAGGCTCACAGCTGGGGGAATTTGTGGCAGAAGCAAGAAATCTATTGCTTTCTAGTCCGGGACGCTCAGCTGCTTCAGGAGCCGCCATCTTGTGTGAGACCATGTGGGGGAAGGATCAGAGCGGCCACAAACAACTGGCAAAACCGCTGAGATAAAGGTGTGGACATTCTTTTCTTCTGGTATCTGTTCATTGGTCCCTTGCTATCTGTACACCCCTATTCTGGTGACTATAGGGTGCCTGAGCTAGTGGGCAACCCAGCCCCAAAGATCTCCTCGAAATTTAAAGAGACAGTTTTCAATTAAAACCAAACGGCCACAGCCA